TAACTTTCATGAGAACCTCTGCCATTCTCTTTCTTTAGTCGCATAAAAATTCCCCAATTAAAATTCTCGACGGCCGCTGAATTCACTTTTTCTTATAGAAATCTAAACTTGTCCACACATGTATACCTTCCGGGCGTTTACATTTCCCATCCCCAGTTCCCCCTGTACCGCAATTACGCCGAGGGCCGAAGGGAAAACCTCATGGAAAAAAACCTTGGCCAGGTACAGTCGTTTCTTCCGAGACTAGCGCTCGTACGATGAAACCTGTCCAAGTTAGAGCGAATTCTATCTCTAAAAAACCCCTGGCATTTTCCCCGACTGGGAATCGAACCCACAAATCTCAAGTGCCAACCCCCTACGCTCTAACCACACGGCCACCGCACTTTTACCGGTTACTTTTTCTTATAGTTTTCTCGCTGTGAAAAATTGGCCACATCTGGCTTATGTGACTACCACTCACATTTGGTTTTGCAAAGCGGAATTTTTCATTGAAATTTCTTAAAAGTTTGGTCCGCAATATGAAACAAACACTTTGCTAACGTTATAGTGGGAATATAAAGATTAATGCGGTTAGTAATAGGATGGAAAGAAACCGTTAAACTTCAGTGTTGTCGTTTGTAACGCCCAAAAGAAAAACTACCGGGGAACCAAAATTTCTCACTTACGGTTCATTCCCCCCAGGATACGAACTTAGGTCTCCCAGTTAGATGCCGAACATTCTTCAACTAACCTATTTTCAATCTCGTCGATGATTGAGTCGCTACTTCTGCACAGTATGAACGATTTTTCAGTTTGCTCTCTAAAATTACACAAGTACCAGCTGATTGCAACTGCACCATTCATTACGAGCTTTTTCACAATATTGGTGATTTACTTTACAAAAATTTTACGGAGGACTTCTTGCGACATCCACTCCAAAAATAGTAAATATGGATATTTACACTGAGCATTGCGACTTTCGTGTTCCCTGCACCGCTTTTTATCTGCTTTATAGTGTGATTCAACTAGCGAGAATAGACCTTGGACCTGATGATACGCCATCTATTGCCAATGGTCAATGATGAATATGCGGTTCGTCATGCGATCCCTACTCTACTTCGCCCCTGCAATTTACCATTCGGGCAGTTCGCCAGGTGACGACCAGTGGTATAGTCGATTATTCGGTATCTCGCCTCTCAGCACCGCTTTTTAGTTCTTTTGTTGACTTTTCTCAATGCTGATTTAACTAACTCTCTAACAAATAATTCAATTATGAAAAATGAAAACAGACGATTTTAGTCGGAATAGCATTTTAATCCGCCATTGTTGTTGTTACATTGGTCTTAGAAAATTCAAGAAAGATTCAAAAGCAGTCATATTTTGATCTCCATTATCCATTATCCATAATAGTATTACTTCCTTGATAAAAGTATTACTACCTTGATTGTTACAGACCATGAAACAGCATTATACCTTCCGCACTTCAACTGCCAATTCCCAGTCGCCACTGAGATTTCATTGGAGAGAATAATGCACCGACTTTGTACGGGTAGTTACCCCTCCTACTACAATATTGATCATATTTCTTCTAAGTAAATGTGCGTAAGAAAGTGCTTGTTGCTTGATAGAAACATGTCTCTCTTTTGGGGTGGAAGCGCGAATATATTTATAGATCTCTATGCCATATGACATATTGGCGGAAATTTCTCTTTCTTACACAAAATGAGATATGGTGCAATGGATTTTGAAAGCGAGAGATTATGAAAATTGGTTAGTCCAATGGGTTTTTTTTTTCTACATGCAGAAGTCGCAAAAAACCAAAACGACCTTGCTCTCCTAATAAAGCGATTGATTGCTAATTCTATTTTGATGACTTATACCATATTGATTATTAGAAGCAAATGAATAGGATAAAGCATATGAATGAGGAAAACACCTGAAGTGAATAAAATGTACCTCCCGTTCTTCATACAAACTGCTTAGAAGCATAGCGATTTTGTTAACATTAGCCTATTGAAGGGAACCAGATATCTGATATTCATCAAATCAACATAATGAAATTCAAATATTTTTCAGATAAACTGAACGAACTATGCACAAATCAATTTGATTATAACTGAGATGGAGAGAAATGGCTCGGTGAACATTCCAGATATTCATAGTAGACCAACAAAATGGTCGTAAATGCTGAACTAGATTCTTAAGCCCATAGATGGAATACAAGTTTTTTGTTACTAAACCGTAAGCTGACTTTTTATACACTGACGTTCAACCGAATTTATTTTTTTTTCAATTTGCCTGCCATCCTTTTGAGCAGGACTTTGGCAAATGTGATTATGTGGGGTAGTTGACTATCTCATATTGCAAACGGGACATTTCAGGATAGAGGATCGATCGATCGATTGGTTGACACAATTCAAGTCTTTTATACTTTACTGGACCGTTAACTACAGAAATAAATGGACGAAATTATTTATATCTACGTTTGGCAATCAATATAGCGCGTAAGCTGAACGAAGCTCAAAATCGTTGGAAACTCAGCGTTGATATTCATCAGGATAAACCAATTTTTTTACTTTGCCTATCTTCACACGAACAAATTATACATGTATTTCTTATGCATTTCAGACACTGGAGCTCTGGAAATATTCATCTCGCGTTCTCTGAAAACTACTGTCAAATGATTAGGAATTAGCTATTTCTTCTGAATATTAGGTTAGACTTAGATCAAGTCACATTGGATTTCTAGATATTAGATATTTCGTTTCTTAGAAAGTCCAGTCTTCCGAGAGCTTTAATTCAGCTGAAATGAAATGTCAGATCGAAGAATTGTGTTGGGTGGTTAATGGAAGATGCTGTTAAGTCACAACACTAAGACAGTGACTGTGAGATACACGTCTTTCATTCATTTGCACAATATAACAACCCAGGCGATGCTAGCATGGACAAGGGAGTCAATACCAAGAATTACACGAAATTCCATCTCATAATACAATTCAGGAAGGACCTTCGACGGTTACGCAGGCCGTTGAAAAACAAAAGCCATATGGATCTTGATCATGATTATAAGGGAGCTAGAACAGATGTGCCCCATATATAGCGCAGGGGCTGCCAGATTACTGTATGGATGAAGATTATCAGTAATTAGCATGAGTAGAAATGCACTGTGTCACAATGGAGCGGACACCTGCGTCCCGATGATAATGTATTGCAACGATAACAGTTTACCTGTTCCATTTAAAACCAACTTGCTCTTACGCACGTCCAACGAAGTCAAGTGACTGAGAATTTGTGATAATGACACATAATCAAGCTGTTTGAAATTTGGACACTAATTTTCGCAACGGGGCAGCACCGTGCGGATAGTCCCCAATTTATATCAGCCAGACGTACAAATTTTCAGTCCAGCGTGAATCTAAGTAGAGTTGTGACACAATAACTTATTCAGTCGACAGTTAATTTCCCGTTTCGGTATCTATATAGATTAAGAGTCTCACCTGCTTCGCTTCACTGCGGGTTTACAAATCAGAAGTCGTTTGATATTCTGATGGACTACTGTTTAACAAATGTCGGAAAATCTACTGTTTACATCACAGGTATTTACCGTGAACAATTGGTCACATTCGACATCTAGGCATGATAAAATAGAGAGGTGAAAGGATCGAGGAATTTCTTAGAGCAGTTGTGAATCATTACACTGAACTTGTAATCTCCAATATATACATACAGTCATCGAAGTTCCGGTTTTTCAAGCATCTTTGTGCGGTCAATATTCTTAAAAGATGCGACATGTGCTGAGCACCCACCATAAGACTTATCCCATCCCCATTATGGGGGACAATGAAAGCGATGAAATAGGTAAGGCCCTCAGTCTACTCATTTACCCCCTTTTTTATACTAGTTTTATTCAATTAATTATTTTTAGCCTCCATTCTACAATTAGTGTCATGAGGATTCATTGATGATGCCTACTCTAGAGAAGGACATCATATCGCACTGTAATTCTCCCTGTATGGAGAATACTATTGAGCGATTTCCCGAAGCTAGTCTCCGCTCTTCCTTTAAGTACAACTCATAGTTTCCATCTTTTATCGCTCTGTCTCTGACCACGCCATGTTGAAGAAATAGTAACTACTGCGAATCTTAGATGTGCCTACGTGAAGCCCTTCCAAGACCCACAACCCTCTCGAAGCATGTAATCCATGTGCTAAGAGCATGTCGTCAGAGCAATAAGCAGTCGCCACTTGATCCACAGATGAAGAGTTAGAGATAGGAGAAAGTACCAAAGTCATGTAATTGCGATCGACATATTCATTGAGAGAGTCAGAGTAGAACTGATAAAAGTGGTGATCGGTCAAGATCCTAGCGAGCACTTAATGAAAACAAGCTAGAACTGAATGACACGAACTTCCTAACAACGAAACTGGAGATGAGAACCTGAAGAGACTCTACAGTGAGTCTGACGGAGATACTGTTCACATTTCAGCTCATCTGCAGATAGGTTCAAGATAGCTAGGTAATAAGACCGAACACAATCCAACCGTTACTTGTGAGCTGAGTAACTGGAGTATATCCCCCCTATTTAATGATGATGTGCTTGATCCCACTAATGACATCAGTACCAATGAGCAGATCTATAGGAGTAGTCAGTTGTCAATTTGGATCTGCTATATCCAGATCCTTGATACGATCCCAGTCGAGATCTCTTGCTGCGAAGGTCGAAGATGTAGATGTAAGGTGATCAAGAGAATGAGCTGTCATTTCAATGTGTTTTGCTGAGTAGAACCTGCTGAAGTGTGAAATTAATTTCACTAATCGTTGAGCCAAACGACGAGTCCCCTACACAAGAAATGTGAATCGAGCTACGCTACTGTTCCAGCGTCCACTGATGCAAGAGAGATTTCTAGATCAACGATAGCTCTGAATCTCGATCGAGGAATAACCGTATTTGCCGATGTTCAGAGCGTTCATTTGCAGATGCTCAGAGCTAATGAGCAGGACTAAACTTGTTGACAATCAAGAGATCTATGAGTAGAGGAAGAGATGACCGTTCGGAATTGGACTCCGCATTACTGTGCAGTAATAGCTGGTGTGGTCTGGATGAGCTCCTCAATACTGGAATAAGACACAGAGCAAGTGAGCAGATCAAACTGACTGCTGAAGTTGAGGGGCGTCTGATGAGAAATGTGTTGAGCTTGAGGTCGCCGATGAGAACGATTAAGGTGAAAAAGAGTGTAGTGCTTTTCTTGGAACATTCTGCATGTGCAAGCAGTCAGGCACAATTGACAGCTGCGCGTTCCAAAGTCATTGTAGCACAAGTGGATACCTGATTTCTAGCGATGAGCGATAGAGCCTGGCATTAACTGCAAGAGGCGATGTAATGTTCCCTCTTGGAGTACAAGCAAGGGTACCCAGCGTCAACCCAAGGTGTTGATTGAGTGAACTGTATTGAATGCCCTGAACTTTCAGATATCTAAGAGGACTGCTGACAAGAACGAGCAGATGCCACCTGGTTAACTTCAGCGCTCCGCTTAGTCATTGGCCGAGTTTGGATATTAGGCTGGGAAGGATGAGATGAGTTGGTCGGTGAGAGCGCCGACGATCCGACCTCCAGAGTCTCCATGGCTCAACGACCTTGTAAAAATTCGAGGAAATGGTCAAGTGTGCGATACTTAGTTGATGAGCCGAAATGATTCTTCCGTGCCTCGAAAAGCTTATTCAGTAAGCGACGAGGGATCACATGAACGATTACTGGACCCCTATGATCAATTGACTGATATACAGCTTTAAGGGCGCTGAGGATCCCACAAACTGAGCTGGTCAACAAGTTGAGATCCGAGCAACTATGAGACTTCATCTGCGCTGTATCCAGAAGGTGGTCAATGTCGCCTAGCGATTAACCAAAATTCTCAACAGGATGCTAAAGCAATTCTCAGAAACTGGCAAATTGGAAATTAATTTCCGAGGTTCAAGAGAGAGACATAACCAGAGGTAAGGCATCCTCTCGAGCCTCTCAATATCTGACCTATTCCTCACCAGCTAATGGGAAAAGATCTGCATGGCTTTTACTCCTGCTATATGGCTGAGAACTGTGGCAAGACGATGTCAGGTAGTGCACGTCAAATATTCACTACTGTGCTCTCGCATCACTGTCAAGTGTATTATTATTTATTTTATTTGCTCAACTTATAATCAATAACAACGCAAAATTGGCTATTGTGTCAGAAAAACTTGTAAAATATTTACACTTTGAAAAGACGAGACCACCAAACCCCTTTATTGTGTCCCGAGCTCAATCGTCTGTACGGCCGAAGGGAAAATGCCATTTATTCCCAAATAGGCGCTTCACGCGTAGGAAATTCAACTAACACTAGCCGATTTATAATACTGGTTACCAAGATCAGTAAATATTCTACTCAGTATAGAAAATTATGCACCTGTAATCGAGAAAAGTGTGCACAATTGAAAAAACCAGTGAACTCATAATTCTATTCACTGTGTTTGGATTGGAATTATTCTTCTGGACGAAAACGAGTCCAATTTCTTAGTGGTATCAGCATGTCACTCAATAACTAATGAAAACTTCAATCACCTATTAACTCAGTTCCGTGTACGGGAGGAAGTTCTCAACTTCCACCAATTTTAAGCTTTTAACTAACAAAATTGAAAGTGAAAAATTATTCAAACCGATCTAATGTAGTGATCGACAACAAACTGGTAAATATATACTGAAATTACCACTGCGTTTATTACTATCATTCGGAAAGCCCAAATCGAAAGCAAGAAGTTGCTTGATAAATTCTTTTGCAAAACAGTGGATAACAACAGCCTTCTGTCTCAAAGATATGCTGCATTTTTATGGGTGCATAAAGGCCGTAGATACATGAGACCTAGCCCACCCTATTCTTCAACATCGAGTAACTACTGTTTTCATCATAGAGTCTGCAGAGAAATAAGTCAAACAACACCATTGAAAGTTATGCTCGACGAGTCGAGCGGAACAAGAGAATTTCAATGAGTGCAGGAAACTTTCAATGAGTGCAGGCATACATGGGAACAAATACCACGTGATGGTCCCTACGTACCCATCTGATCGAGACATCATTACCTCATTTTCATTACAAACATTACTAAAACGTTCCAGTAAAATGAAATTTGTCCGTCAAATTGGTTGCTGTAAATTCGTTGAACTGATTTGGATGTGTCGCACGTGATCAGTACCATATTTAACTTTTTGGGATTGCCGTTCAACCGTGCGTTGAAAGCAAAACCAGTCGATTCCCTGCTTATAATTTCGCCTGTAGTGAAAAGATGAAATGTCGATGACATCGTTCGACGAGAAAATCCAACCCAAATCACCCAAAGAACTCAATGAGCTAGTAAAGTAGAAGAATTATACCTTGTGGGTAGTTTTCCCTTCGAGAGAGGCACAAAAACTGTACAATGTTGCAACTACGCATCTCATCAGAGGCAGTCACGCAAGACAAATGATTCTTGGACAATCATCAGTCCTCGATTCTTGGGGTATTCCGGGATACAAGATTGGATCAATTCACCTTCACTCCAAGTTTACGGAAAAACGATGATTGGCTTACCACCAAAAGAGTAATCTTATGAGAAATCGCACTGCTATTTGCTGCACGAAGATTGATATTACCTACATTCAATAATAAGAAAATATTATGTCGATGCCTGTGGTTAGAGATGCCGTGTTAGGATGATCACTGGCTTTATCAATAGGGCAACGGTGGATTGAATTCTGCGCGTGCTTATGAGGGCGGGTAGAATAGAAAATTCCAAAGTAGTTTGTTCTGAAAGCGGTTTCAACGGTGAACATTCATGGCTTTTCAAATGCCGCATAATTCGCTACGGCCGGAACCCTAAATTTACTATCGGAAGCGCAGAATTGACAGCTGCCGTGATCGTGTGAAACTCACCAGGTATCAAATAGACCAGGCATGGGCAAAGTGCGCTCAATGAATTAGCCACTCGGAATTGTACATTTCAACCAGAAATGAATCACAAAAGATTGGTGAAAAGATTTTTTAATTTTTGTTAATGTAGTTTGAACATTTCCTAAGAGGTCTTTAAACATTTTGAAACTTTGTTTACCTTGAAAAAGCACAAGGAAACAAGGAATTTGAATTCCATCATTTCATGTCTTACTGACTTTTTGTCGTTATATCGATCCCACTGTTAAACATTTGAAAATTCATCAATTTCCAGTTAACCACAAAAACTGATAATTACTGCAGAAGGACATAAAAATAATTAGCCGCAGAGGGTGATCAATTTTAATTAAAAAATGTGAACAGATTAAAATATGTGTGGTCTTGCCGACAATTGTGGAGTGAGTGCTTGCCAGACAAATATTTGGGATGTATTCCAATATGAATATTAAAACAATAAATGGACTCAAACCAAAAATGAAGTTAAAAGAATTCGTTCATACAAATCATTTAAGAGAAATTTTCTTGCAGAATTTTAATGGTAACATCGTTCTGAGTTGTCTTGTTTGGCTCATATATTGGCAAAAAATAAGAAAAATACGTTGAAATGTGAGAAATAATTCTATTAATTTCAAACCCAGACCTTTCAATGAGACATTGGTATTGAAAAAAAATTCTAAAAGAATTTAGTCACAAACTTACATAGTTTTCAGTGAAATCTAATATCGTTTCAATAGAAGTATTGGGCGAGTCCGATGATAGTTTCCGTTGAATTGTTTTTGTGCTCTCGAACCCAAGAAATTTGACTAAAAAGAAATTCCTGAGGAATTTCTCTTCAATATCTCAAAGATTGTTTTGGGCATATTCAAATGGTCTTTCTCCAAGAGTCTTGGAGCAAGACATTTCAAAACAAGGGTGGGTAAACATACATGCCTAAAGTTGCCTTAAATTTGAACGAGAATATTCTAAAAGTATTGTAAATGCATGACAATTTTTCATTTACATGAAATTATGAGATGTCAAGTTCATAAGTTGAAATGCTGACTCGTACGATTTTGGGCAGTTCCCAATTTTACGAAAAAGATGGATAGTGCAGACATCCGGTAAACCAAGTTCAGATTTATCACGAGATAATTCATTTGCAACGCGACAAAGAGCTTTTACACCTAATTTCAGATAACATTTGGCGACAAATTTCCGAAACAAATGCGTATCCGAATCTATTAATTGTTTATAAAGGAATTGTTTGTTTGTTCGGTACTTCATATTTATGTGCGGCTGGATTTTTATATATGAAGCAATTTAAATCGTCAAATCGCACAACTTTATAGGACTCTACTTTCAAAGATTCAATATTAATTGCAGAAAGTAATTATTCACCGGATGTAGAAAAGTTATTAGCTGCCATGGAATTCCACTTTTCTCATTAATGATTGTTTATGCAATGCCGCATGATGCATGGCTTAATAATCGGGGCATGAGGTTTCTATGCTGCTGTGCATGCAATTTTCTTATTCTTCCAATATTTTCCGCTATTCCTTCCCATTCCTCAACCTCCTTTCCTTCCAACACTGAGAGAAGCGAATGGTTTAGAAAATTATAAAAAATCTAATCGCTAACGATCAATTAGTTTACGGCTAAAATTTTTTTCAAATTATCAACACATTTTGTTCTCATTCTTTTCTCTCTGCTTTCCTGGCGGAATACGCCTACCACCTTCCCGTGGTTTCCGTTGAGCAGCTATGAAAGATCCTCGCCAAGAGTGGACCATACTTATTAAAAAACCTTTTGTTACGGCGAGAACGTCAAAAAAATGTAGAGCACTGGGATGTGGTTAAGGAGAGATTTGAGAGTCATAATTGTGACGCGAGACGCACTGGGTTTTGTCACAGAGAAATTCTTATATATTTCGAGTCAAACAAACGTAAATATTTAAAAATATGCCTAAATAATATGCGTCACATTAACCGCGAACAATACTGATTAATTTGAGCACGGTAGAGTATATGGTTTAATTGAGATTCGCACGATAATTAGAGATACAATTAGAGAGCGTTAGGTAACGTCGTTAACTTGAGAACACGCGACAGGTGGAGAGAGCGTTAATAATAATTATAATCGTTAAGAAGGTCAGTGCCACAGGTGCGTAATTAGGGCACCTATATAATCGCACGGTCGGTTAACCAGAGACGGTCCAGGAGGTGCTGCCACCCCGTGGCCCGATGAAAATGAGGCTTTCGCCTCAACATTCTCCCCCCCGTCAGGAACTTCGTTGCTGACAGAAGGAGTAGAGACAATCCGAGATAACCTGTGCATCCGAGATAAGCTAGAACACTAAATAGAGATTAATCAAGTTGATAGAGACCAGCTTTAACTGGTAGAGATCGGCAATAGAACCAGTTTGGAGATCGGCCTGGTCAACGTCGTCGAGGCGGTCCGGATTGTCACAACTCTGGAGAGACCGTCCTTCCCAGGGTGTAGAGCTGTGACACGAGCAAGAGGCCACTTGAATGGCGGGAACCGCTCGTCGTAGACAAGTACCAGGCTGCCGACTTTAATTTCATTGGACGGATGATGCCACTTAGAGATGGACTGAAGCTGCTGCAGATACCCTGTAGACCATTGCTTCCAGAAGAACTACAGCTTCTGCTGAATCAGTTGCCATCTTGAAAGCCGTCCAACGTTGAGATGTTCTAGGTTAGGCTCCGGGAGAGCTATTGGAGCTTCTCCGATGAGAAAATGTCCTGAGGTGAGACAGGACACGTCAGCAGGGTCTTCCGAGAGCGCTTGTAGAGGCCTGGAGTTGAGAACTGCTTCAATCTGGGTCAGCAGCGTTGAAAGTTCCTCGAACGTGAGAGTGGTATCCCGAACCGTTCGGGACAGATGATACTTCACTGACTTGACCGCTGCTTCCCAGTTCCCTCCAAAATGAGGGGCTCCCGGAGGATTGAACGTCCACCTCGTTCCATCCTTGAGACATACTGCAGAGAGATGCTGGAATTCCTTGGTACCAGCAGAGAACAACTTCTTCAATTCCTTGTCAGCTCCGATGAAATTTGTGCCACAGTCGCTGTAGAGATGTCTGCAGTATCCTCGGCGACTCACGAACCTCCTGTAGGCCGCGATAAAGCCGTCAGTAGAGTAGTCCGTAACAGCTTCCAGATGGAGAGCGGACGTGGCCATGCACACGAAGATCACTAACCAACCCTTCTGGGTCTTATGACCACGCCCTTTCCACGTCTTGATTGACACTGGTCCGGCATAATCCACACCAGTTTTAGAGAAAGCTCGATCCGATACAAGACGTGCCATTGGAAGCTGCCCCATCAGCTGCCGCGCTCTGATCCCACGATGTCGCGCACACTCAACACACTTGAGGATGAATGATCTTACTGGTAGACGACCTCCAATAATCCAGTAGCACCTCCTGAGATGCGTCAACGTGAGCTGAGTTCCGCCATGCAGCGTGCGCTGATGAGAGTCCCTGATGAGAAGCTCTGAGAGCACTGATCCTTAAGGGATTCTCGCCTGATGCCTACTCTCTGGCGCTAGAGCTGAGAACTTCAGACGTCCGCCCACTCTGAGAACTTTCTGTTGGTCGATGAAAGCAGTGAGCTTAGTCAACGGATGAGACCTTTTCAACTGAAATCCGTGAGGGATAATGTCACACTCGGCTTGGAGATGAAAGGCTTGAGTCGCCTTAACCCAATAAAGTCGAGCTGCTTCCATGCTTTCAGGGCTAAACACCGCCGGAACAACGACGTTCTTCTTCCTATCGAGTTTACGCATCAAGTTCCCTGTAACTATTTGACAAATTGCTGTGATCCGCAGCAATTTGTAGAGAGATGAGTATCGCGAGCAGAGACCCCAGAGACTAGACCTTGCGAGAGAAGCAGTTAAAGTCACCCCAGGCTTCTCCTCGAGATCTGTTGACGGGTCCAACTTTGCGCTCCCTTTTGGCCACTGAGAAGAATCCTTTTGTAGCCATTTCGGACCCGTCCACCACAAATGATGGGCATTGAGTTGAGCTACTGAAATGCCTCGAGACGCGCAGTCAGCAGGATTCTCCTTTCCGCTGACATACCTCCAATTTGCTTCCTGTACGAGTTCCTGAATAACTGCTACTCTATTATGGACATATTCCTTCCATCTGGAAGGATGAGCACAAATCCACGCAAGAGCAACAGCAGAGTCCGTCCATAAATGTACCATCACCGTACCACGGTTGAGCTGATCCATAACGTACTTTGTGAGCTTAGCTAGGATGACGGCGGCGTTGAGCTCGAGACGCGGAATAGTGAGCTTCTTGAGAGGAGCCACCTTGGTTTTAGCAATAGCTAAAGAGATGCTGACACCATCCGCACTCGTCACCTTCAAATAAACCACCGCAGACATCGCTAGTAGAGACGCATCAGAGAAGCCATGGATTTCCAAATGAGATTCCTTTCTACAGCCCAGCCAACGAGGGATCGAGAGTTGTTCCACTTGAGATAGTTCTTCACGGAATTGAGCCCACTTCTGGGCCAGATGTAGTGGCAACTCATCATCCCAATCCATTTTTTCCAACCAGAGATGCTGGAGAAGAGCCTTCGCACGGATCACTACCGGTGATAGCAACCCTAGAGGATCGAAGAGTTGAGCAATCTCGGACAATATAATCCTCTTCGTAAACTTCGCGTCGGCTGAGAGATGGATGGAGAACTTCAATCGATCTGTGTTGGGATTCCATTTCAGACCGAGAATTTTCGTGACGGAATCCTCTAGCGGCTTCAAACTCTGAGAGAATCCTCCAGGCAGCAGAGAACGAAGTAGAGATGGACTATTTGAGTGTCACTTCGCTAGAGGGAATCCGCCGGCCCAGCAGAGCTCCACCACTTGCTGAGCTACGACATGGAGATCATCTTCTTCCTCAGCTCCACCACAGATATCGTCTACATATCTACCACTGGTCAACGGTGAGACGGCCAGAGGGAAACGATATCCCTCGTCCGTGACCAGTTGGTTGAGAACCCTACAGGCGAGGCATGGAGCAGTCTTAGTCCCGTAGGTGACAGTGGTGAGCTGATAGGTGCAGATCTGACCCCGAGAATCACGCCACAAGATTTGTTGAAGAGCCCAGTCTTCCCGATGCACCTTGATCTGACGGAACATCTTCCTGATGTCCGTCATGAAGATGTACTTGCTCTGTCGAGACCAGAGAAGCACGTCAGAGATGTTCTTTTGTAGTTTGGCTCCAATATGCTGAATGTCGTTGAGAGACACTCCTGAGCTAGTTTTACTGGAGCCATTAAACACTACTCTCAGCTTTGTAGTTTCATTACTTTCCCGGAGAACGCAATGATGAGGAAAGTAGTATGTAGGAGCAGAAGAGTGAGATTGCCTGAGAGACGAACACCGACCGGAATCCTGATATGATTGCCCCCCTTCAGGAACCCTCAACCCTCCTGAAGCCGAAGCTCCATGTGCCAAGGTCATCCCGTCAGGTTGACAATCCAAGACTCGAGAAACGCATGAGACAGGCACAACCGGAGCACGCACCATGTGCCCCAACTCTTCATACTCCTTAAGAAAATCACTATAAAGCTGTAAAGAACTCTGACCTTTTCCTAACCTCCTGAGCAGGCTCGTAAGACACGCCTTTGCGCGGCCTAGAGAATCACCGAGCTCTGAGGGAGAACGAACTAGAGGCAGAAGAACAATATAGCGCCCTGAGCGATCTAGAACATGGGTGCGCTGGAAGAACTCCTCACAATCTGCCTCTTCTTTCGTGAGACCGCTTTCATTGCCTTCAGGTTTTGAGACTTCCTCCTGCTGCCAGAACGAGGTGAGAAGGTCGCCAAGTTCCTCGTTGCTGACAGAGACGTGATTTGAGCTTGCCGCTGAGATTACTGCGGATGTAGGTCCAAAAACCACCCACCCGAAGAGAGATAACATTGCTATAGGGGAGTCTGATGGCCCCTTGATGATTTACGGCTCCACAATCGATCCAAAGAAATCTGCGCCAATGAGAATGTCAACAGGTCTTGGTGTCAGATAATCTGGGTCGGCTAATTGCAGTCCTCTGAGATGATCCCAATGTCGAGGCTGAGAGACTGAGAACGAAGGCAATGAAGACGTGAGATGATCAAGTCTGTAGGCCTTGACAAGAATCTGATTACTCGAATGCAGAGACTTGAGAGAGAATCGAGAAAAACCATTAGAGGAAGATTTTCATCGGCTAATACCAACAACCGGTAGCACAGCTGGAGAAACCATCAAGCCGAGCTTATTAACGAGGTCTTTTGTAGCAAACGACAGCTCTGAACCAGTATCCAACAGCATCCTAACCTCGTGAGAAGAACCATCATCCGAGACGAGCGAGGCTAGAGCTGTGGCGAGAAAGACACCTGGCCTGAGCTGTGGAGAGATATCACGATTGATCGATGCTACAAACGGAGATTCATTCAGCAGAGTCGGCCGTAGAGAAAGATCATAGAACGGCGAGGACTCTGGCGCAGTCGTTGGCAGAGCAGATCACTGTGGAGACATGTCAGGCGTTGAGGAAGTGGACTGTATCGACTGATTGGACTGAGATACCTGCGATGTGTGAGGAACCTGCTGAGTTGGACGAGGCTGAGAAGATCCTTAAGGTGTCGGTCGAGGACGATTGACATGAATCATCGAATGATGATTCTGACGACACACGACACTGGTCTTGCTGAGGCTCCAACAATTCTCCTTATTATGTCTCCCCAGACAATTGAAGCATCGACGCTTGAGCACTACAAATGATCTCCTTTCTGTAGGAGATAACGCCTTAAATTTCGGACATTTGTCGAGAGAATGCTCATCCTCACACATCGGACAGGCACGGAAGCACATATCTGCCCAATCCTGAGGCTGAAACCCCTGAGCTGGTCGAGACGTGTTGATTGTAGAGGTTTTCACCGATGCAGGCTGCGAAGTTGGACCAGCGGAGACGTTGAGCACCTTGGTAGGCTGGACTCCTTGACTTGGTGGGCTTCGAAGCCTGTTGAGAACTTGAGGAGAGAGATCGTGAGACGACTGATTGAGGCATGCATTTCAATCCACTCCCTGGCCCTGGCTCTGCTGAGAACGAATTCCTTGAGCGCTGCATAAGTGGGAAACTCCGTAGACGAGCCTATTTTAATCTCCCAATCCTCCAACGTCTTAGAATCTAGCCGACTTGTTACCAGGTGTACAAGCATGTCATCCCACTGCCTGACAGGACTTCCGAGAGACTCCAAAGCATTCAACGCTTCAGCTACAGAGTTGAGAAGTGCGTTATATTCCCTGGCTGAGCGATTGATGACCTTTGGAGTAGAGAAAAGCTTCTCCAACTGGGTGGAGATGAGCAACCTCTCGTTGTCGTACCTGGCCAAGAGAGTATTCCACGCTGGCATAAACGAGTCTTGCATCACTGGTAAGGTAGAGATGAGCGGCTTAGCCTCGCCAGTGAGAGAAGTGAGCAAATAGTAGAATTTCTCCACAGTAGAGAGAGAAGGATTCGCGACCACCATTGAAAGAAAGAGATCCTTGTACGGAGTCCACTCCGAAAAGTTCCCTGAAAATGTGGGTAGAGAAATCTTAGGCAATTGCCTATGAGTCGCTTGCGTCGTTTGAGCAGTCATTGATGGACGACGAAAGGACTCAGAGAGGTCAATTGACTCGTCCAATCCTTTAATGAGTCCCATAAAAGTCGTTCGAGCAGCTGAGTACATCACGAGACATTTATTGTTTACCTCCTCCTTCACGTAGGCATGGTCGAGAAACTCCTCATTGTCCTTGGCTGTCAGCAGTTTGAGATGTAACGCGTCAAACATGTTCCAGTGATTCTCCAGCATGTCCAGTTTTGACTGGAGCTCAGTCACCGTGAGTTCCTGCACACTTTCTGCGACAGATTCTGCATTCAAGCTCTCAATGAATTTCGCCCTACTGGCCTGGATTAAAATTCTCCCCTTAAAAGACATGCTGACGCTAGAGAATTGCAATGGAGCGAGAGAAGAGAGAAAAGGTCAAAGCAAAATCGCACAAAGCAAGCAAGAGCAGGGAAAACACAGCCAGCAGCAAATTCAGCAGCTAAGAGTTACTTGAGAAATACAAAAAAATAACTCAAAATCACGTAGAGAAAAGCAACAGCTTCACACTCCAGGCAGCAGGGAACAGTAGCAAAAGCAAGAAAAGTTAATAAAAGAGAATAATATTATTAACTTCCCTTTGAGAAGATCTGGTAGCTGTAAAGATGTTCCGTCGGCAGAACTGTAGGCCTAAAATCGGTGGCAGATACAGTAGGCAGTGTTCTCCGCTGAGGGTGTGGCCAAGTGGGTGGAGCCTCGTAGAGCTAGAAATGCACGGAGCGGTAGGCGGAACGGTGGGCGAAACAATTGAGTCTTGACGTAGCTTAGTCTTTTTCCGCGGTTTTCACTCAGATGCACTCCAAAAACTCAGTTTTTCACAAAAAACACTTAATTAACCACTGAATCCGGCTCGAAGGACCAAATGTTACGGCGAGAACGTCAAAAAACCGTAGAGCACTGGTATGTGGTTAAGGAGAGATTTGAGAGTAATAATTGTGACGCGAGAAGCACTGGGTTTTGTCACAGAGAAATTCTTATATATTTCGAGTCAAACAAACGTCAATATATCAAAATATGCATAAATAATATGCGTCACATTAACCGCGAACAACACTGATTAATTTGAGCACGGTAGAGTATATGGTTTAATTGAGATTCGCACGATAATTAGAGATACAATTAGAGAGCGTTAGAGAACGTCGTTAACTTGAGAACACGCGACAGGTAGAGAGAGCGTTAATAATAATTATAATCGTAGGCAAGGTCAGTGCCACAGGTGCGAAATTGGGGCACGGATAAACCCGCACGGCCGGTCGGGCAGAGTTAGTCCAGGAGGTGTTGCCACCCTGTGGCCCAGTGCCATATGAGGCTTTCGCCTCAACACCTTTAGATACGTAATTTATTGATTGAATTTTAAAGAACTGTCATCTCATATTTTTTGGACTTTCAATAAAATAATTATTCATTATTAAGGTAACCAAGGAATAATCAGTTCCTGGCACCATGATGTTTGGACATTTGTCCTCCATATAACTAAGGATTTTTCACGTTGAATTGGAGAAAATTTGTTCGAATTGTTAAAAGGTAAGGTTTTTTAAATTAAAAAAGCGTGCGGCGCTCTCTGTGTCTAACTGCCCCCACTTCCTGCATGCTGCTACTACTACCCTGACTACGCTGGGCTCACGTAGTTGGGGTATTGTATTTCTAATGATGGGTCTAATAGAGTTTTATGGCCCCGGCTCCGAAGGTCTGACTTTGCACAGGCCTGGAATAGACCAATTGGAATGATGAAATAGGATTATTTTTTATAGACGGATTCAGCATATACTCTATTGGATCAAGTCACATCCATCAAGGTGTGAGGGGTCGATGCGAAATTGAGCTCAAAGTATTCACGAAATCATCGGATATTTCATGAAACTTCGTGCCTGGGAATGAGAACCATCGGATTCTGCTTTAAGAATAGGTACTGTTCAACAGTTGGTTTATTACATATTGTGCTAAAAGGAATTACGGTGATTGCGTAAAGATTTATTAATATGGCCATCAAAGCGACCAGTAGCAGATTAACAGTGGACTTTTCAAGAGAGCTACTGCGAACTGCCTCCTCTGCTGTTGCACGATTCATACTCGTAACAGCGATACATCTCGAAGATTAAAAATAAGCTAGACTATACTGGATCAAGTTGATATGAAAATCTCGATAGACCGGGGAGCTAAGAGGAAAACAATGTCATACCAAGTCCCATTTACTTAGGAAGTTAACGCCATTATTAGCCAGGCCACGGAGGTTTACGACGTCTAGGACGTGTTTGATTTACTCCAATGACCGATGAAAATTAACTTGAGGTAATTGTGTTGGCGGAACCAAATTTTGCTCCATGCAAGGATGCATATGGAACAACATTTCATGAACTTTATTCGGTTTTCCACCGAGTGCACTCATACGCATACACACTCATGAAACGCTACGCGTTTCTGCTCTGATCGCTCGCCTCAGATGGCCTCTCACCTCAGATACATGAGGCGCCACTTGATGGACAGGTGTAATTGACCATTGCGGCGATCGACACCTCCCACTTTGTGGCTTATCACTCACTCTCATTTGCATATCGACCATTCGAGAGCGTTTACGCACTTTTCTAAGAACTTAGCATTACATCCTTTTAATCATGTCATTTCTATTTAATTTGACCCTCGATTCGCCAGAATTTGTGAGGCGCTTAATTTCTTTGATTGGCTCAATTAATTATAATAATTCGAAGTGTCTAGTGACTTTTTATTAACAATTAAACTGACTCTTTGGGACCAACGTCACGTGAGTGTTTATTGGACCTTCTTCGTATTTTCAAGTCATCCGAACATATCTAGCCCATCTAATAAAAATATCCCTAAAACAAGATCTCGCTAATAATCCAGATTAATTCAGCGTTCTGACTTCAAGACCGTTGGTGATCCTCGATTCATCGATAACATCGCCAGGACTATCACTAAAGCAGTTTACGACTAGACTTCTGGGGTGTTTGAAGCTGGTTAAACCCTGCTTTCATTAGTTCTGGAAACAGTAATATAGTAGTTTTCTCCGACAGTATCAAACAATCAAAAAAAGGAATTATCATAAACATGAAATACAGGTTGGTTTACTAGTTTTAATCATCCATGAAAGATTCTCACCATTGAAGTGCCAGGTATACATGTTAGGAAAGACTTGCTAAGCGGAGAATGAGAATTTCGTGCAGCCAATTCAACCTTCCAGCGACCTATGAAAAAACTGACGATCATGCCGTTCTACCATTTAGAACAGCAAAGCTGTGACCAGTTGTGTTCAGATTTTTATTCCGAACTTAATGTTTGCAATTATATCCTCACAAATTAAGGCCTACGCTGCCAGAAACCACGGCGAGAAAAATACAGTCTATTCGGTCAATCCAGTTCACTCAGTCTTAGTCAGCTAAAATTTTCCCAACCGTGTCCTCATCGTCAGCGTTTGGAATTCTTTTCAGAGTTCAATCCATTTTTGTTCCACCACGACTATCCATCCTCGAATTATTTGCTTCAGGTTATTGGATCAAGGTATCGCTCCACCTCGGTATGTTGGGCAAACACTTGATGTCATTTATTGAGCTGCTGACAATATCGTCTAGATATGAAAGCATTTTTATAGGCAATTCCTCATAACGAAAGAACTACAGGTAAAATCTTCCTATTGCTGTTGTTATTGATACTATTAGTGCCTATGTTTAATTGAAAATTGACATTCATATTTCAACTTTATAGAAGGCCCAAAATGATCCCGTTAGCTCGCGAAGTCGTCTTCTGCCCGTATCGGTCGTACTACAGCTCAAGGAGGAAGAAAAATCGAATTAGAGTAGGTAGCCTCATTAAGTAGATAATGCCTCTCTCTGAGCTCTCCCTAACAAAGATCAGCAGCCGCCTGAGCCATATTACATGAATAATCATATTGGGGAAAGACAATATCTCGAGTGTAGACAGCTTACTTTGATGAAGTAGCTGGCACCGTTTTGGTTCGAGCGGATGACTGCTTAGACTACTGAGAATGGAAGGATGAGTAGTGATAATCTCCACAGCACTGGCAGCTCAGCCTTGAAAGGCCATTCTTCACACAATGACGTACGAGATAATTGTAGCAGATGTCGCGACCTTCATATATCTCCATACGAGCTGCGGTGAGCTGTTTGAAGATTGAGCCGAACGACAGATACAGGTCCACCTTACATAGAGCATGGCTGCGTAACTTTTCCGGCTGGAATTAAGCCATGAGCCGACCTTTGTTTTGGGTCAGGTTGAGTAAAAATTGTGTGAATCGTGGCCTAGTTTGACGTTCGTGGTGGAGTCTGGGAGTTCAGTCAGCTGGACCCTTCAGACATCGCAGCTGGCAACGGCACTCGTGCTTACAAGTTAATATCAATGTTCTCCATCGCTTGACTTCTCCCTGTGGTGAAGTTTTCAAAGTATGTGCAGCTGGAAATTTCGGTGGAGTACCCGCTCGAGCATCACCACATTTTGAGCTGAGCCTTTCAGAAACAATATGAATGATACCGTGATCTGACGGCGGTATTAGATTCCAAGCCATTGTAGCACATTATATGCCTCAGAAACTAGAGTCACCACAAACTCTGCTCTCTAGCATTATGAGTTGTCATCGGTGGAGGGCGGAAGAGCTGTTCCAGGTGTGTAGAGATTAGCCATCGCTAGCTCTCTTAGCAAGCGAAAAGCAGATCCCAAGCGGTGGAAAACGACTCATCCGAGATGATCACGGTGACGATGCCGCGAGCACGCTCCTGGGTGAGAGTAGTGCGAAGATACTGCTTCTTCCTCACGCTTGAAATATCAGAGTTCGAACCGATTAATAAACACAACTGAGACTCTGAATCGCAATCGGCAATCAGTGGCCGGAAGTTATCCTATTACTAAAGTCGGAATAATCTTCAAAGCCTAATGGATACCCAATTGGCCAATCTTTGGTCTGTGTGTAAGTCCCAGTAGTGAGAATATTCCCGGTAACCATACAAAGTGGCATGCGAGTTTAACGGAAATGGCTGACCTGCCAGAATTGGCACAAAATTTCGGTTTCAAATTTTAAATATTAAATTAAAAAATGTCAATTTGCAATGGATAACCTGGAAGAATACAGTTCGGAAATGGTTTTCGGCAATTTTTATAGTTCTTCGAGAATTGCAGCTGTAAATATGAAAAATAAAAATTTGACACGGTCAACCTTGGAATATATTCCTGAAATTTCCATTGCAGGTTTTCATATGCTATTTTTCATTTTCAAATGAAACTCAACCTCGAGAAATGAATTTTTACATTTATGCAATGAAGAAATAATCGCTCTCTTTATATCTGTCGTAAACCGTACCTTCAAACTTGTAATTTCGATGAAATGATAGAATTTGTAATGAGAAATACGTTGCAGGTATGCACGTGTCAAGTTTTTGTTGCAAAAAATATTTCGTATTAAAAAATTGTATTTGTATTTCAAATTATGATTAAGATCAAGATTAAGAAACGCGGATGATCGGACCGGCCTTACCAGTACCACCAAATCGAAATTAGAGTTATTGTAGCTCGGCTTGTTTGAGGAACAGATTATCTGTCTTTGCTACCAGTATTAACAAATCTGTTGACTTCTTGCTCTCACTTGATTTGCGGTGGGAAAGCAGTGCCCCACCAACGCAGTTTCGTCGGTGCTATCGCCGCACTGTCATCCAGAATTTGTAGACTGTTCTCTTTTGCTTCATTGTAGAATCTGCACCACCAATCAGAATTCGCGCCGACGATTTTGCAGTGTTCTTTAAATTTGCCATGTCCTGTGAGCAGCCGGATCGTGATGGCCAGACTTTCCCTGTCCATAGCCAGCAAGTGTTTAGATCTTTTCTTGCTGGATCCAAGCATGGCTGTCCTGGCCTTCCTGCAGGTCTTTTTGACTTTCCAGCAATTAGGTTGCTTTCGTGTGAATTTTCCCTTTATGTGGCTTTTACCCACGGCCTAGCGGACTCCCACTGGCGAAGCCTCGTCTGCATCTGTTGTCCTTTACTTCGCCAACCCGTCTGTCATTTCGTTGCTGTGGATCTCTTCGTGATCTGGGACCCAAGCAAGAGGTACCCTGTTGCTGGTCCAGTGTTTCTTTAGGCTCTCAATGGCCAACTCAGAGTCAACACTGGGCTTAACGAGAGCTTTTATAGCGCCTTGATCATCTGACCATACGAATATTGTTTTTTCGGTTGTCATCCGGGGCACCGGCAGCTCTGAGCACTTTCTGAATGCCAGAACTTCCGCTGGGAATACTGTAACCATTGTCCTTACAGACCAGCTCCGCTTATAGTTTTTCCCTGGCCCATACAGTCCTTCTCCAAAGCAACCTCTGTATCCTAAGCCATCTTCCAGCCTTTTCTCTTGGTTTTCGCCATGGATTTGTTGTATTGCTTCTACGGTGATATTCGTTCCGCCGTGGCCTTCCTCGTGCGTAGGTTACCGCAAGAGTTTTTTACTTTGTGCCACGCTCTCCGCACCAGGTCCCTTAAGATGGCTAGGGTTGTGTTCCACCAGCTCACCTGTTTGGTTCCTTTGATGGGGCGCATTGAACAGTTGTTATCAGAACACCTTCTAATCCACTCTCCGAAGGATTCGGCAGTATATTCTAGTTGCTCCATGTTCTCGAATCTGCTGGGTACACCCTGGATTCTCAGTAAGAGCTCCTTTTTGTACCCCGTCTGGTCTGGTTCTGTCGGGTCTCTCCTCCGAATAGACTCTCCTCTGCCACTCAGCTTAAGGCGTATTTGACCATGATCAGAGCCCGAACGTTCTTTGGAGACCCTCCAGTCTCTAATCAAGTCTATTAGGTCTGCTGTGCATATGGTCATATCCAGCACCTCCTGCTTTCTGCAGTCCATGAAGGTCGGCTCCTTTTCCCTGTTCAGGAGTAGCAGGTTGTTAACGATCAAGAAGTCGTGTAGGGCATCTCCCTTAGTACTGGTGTTTGAGCTTCCCCACCCCTGATGGTGAGAGTTTGCGTCGCAACCAAGCTGGAGTTCTGTTCCCTCGTCTTTCACTCTGGCTATAAGCGACTCTACCTCAGGTGTTGGGGGAAGTCCTTCGGAGTCGTAAGGTAGGTAGGCTGAACCTACCATGCATTCCAACGTTCCATTCTCGCTCATTTAGGCTTTCAGCTTGGCTACGGCCAAGTCTCATTTGCTGAGGTGTGATGTGAAGGTAGCTTCCATCCCTTTGACCAGGATGCATGCTATTATTTTGTGTTCCCTGGGGCTCACGTGGACTAATCTCCTACAGCCTCCCAGACCTCTGATAGTCACATGCACCAACCGCGCTTCTTAAATAAGAGCTGCTTGCATCCACGCAAGTATCCCGCATAGTATGGCCGAAGCACTTTTACCCTTATTCAAGTTAATCTAAACGATTTCGATCGACCCGTGAGCCATTGGAAGGCTCACTTGTCTGTCTCAGTCGCTCCTTGTCCCTCAATGCGGTTCTTATCGAGCATCATAATCGATGCTCTTTGAGTCTTGCAGTGAGGTCTAAAGTTGCAGGCTTTTAGACATTGCGGGGTTTTCTCATTGACAAGAGCAGCAAAATGGGGGCTCGCGGCTCCGTTGCTCACCTAGATGAAGCGGTCTCACTCCAGAGGTTGCCTGTTATAGGCGTGTGGGGGGGGGGGGCACCGTTAACCACGGAGCGTCACCTGCGTGACACTGCCCTTGATTCATTAGCTAACGCCCTGGATTGAAGAGTAAGTCTGCAACAGGGTTTTGGGCATGTATTTACACGCCCTATCATCACCGTTAGCCAGCCTTGTCCACCATCCCTTGGCCAGGTCAGAAGCATCCCTGCCCGTGTCCTCTCGTGAGCTGGCTAATCAATGCTCCTATCCATCGCCTGGACACGTGCCCGGTTGGCACTCGACCTTGTTCTCCGCACCCTTTAGTAGTGTTTAGAGCACCCGGGTATATTTCAAAGTCAAGACAAGAAAATTCCTGTTCGATAGCAGGGCTACCCTCTGTCGGTATCGGTCGAAGCACGGCTCAACGAGGAAGAAAAATCGCATTGGAGCAGGGAGCTTCGATAAGTTCGTAACGCTTTTCTCGGGTTGGACGCTCCTCCGGCGATCCGTATCCATACCCGTACCACCCTAGCCCTATGCTCCCCTAACCGCTCTTTTAATTAAGTATTCGTCAGGCGCCAGGTGACTTTGGTAACCCAGTGCCACCCCTGGACGAGACCGGGCTTTCAACCTGCGGCTCGAAGAAACCCTTAACTGCGTTTCGATTTTTACGCCAGGTCCGCTAACTGGCCCTCGATGCTCCCACTTACCCCTGTACTGCGTTTTATCAGATCCGCTAACTGCTCTCCCCGGGGTCGCGAGGCTAGGATGGGGTTACGTGCCCGTGCTGCTCAGGATGTAGGTTTTGGTGAGAGCGCGGGGTCCGGGGATCTACTTAACTGCGCGTGATTGATCGTTTATTATAATTTTATTCTCCTGCTTCAGGTGTCACCGGGTCAGGCGGGATCTACACTCACGCTCACATTTTACACTCTGCACTTGCTTTGTCAAATACTCCTAGTCAATACTCTCGTGTCGGCGGCGAGGGGACGGGGCTTACCTGTGGTGGCCCCAGCCCCTGCCTTTGGGAACTAATTTCCTCCCCCCCCCGGGGGGGGGGGGGGGGGGGGGTTGCCCCCGGTACCGATAAAACTTCCCAGGGTTGTTCGGGGTTACGAAGCCTCCTAGGCTACCCTTGTGGCCACTCCTCGGCTCGAGGGTCCTTCCGGGCCTCGCGGGCTAGGAGGGCGGGCGTCCCGGGCACGACCTCGCGGGCTTCAGGGCCTCGCTGATCGACTCCCGTACGCGTGAGCTCCCCATCGCTGCCCAACGTCGACTCTCTCTCACGACTCCGCGACCGGCGATATCCTATGTCTCCCCCCTCTTCGCGAGTTGCTCAGGAGCGGAGAAGGGTCTGCGCGGCTTGCCCCCGGGAGAGTTTTCACCTGGTACTTTTCTCTGCCGGGTACCCTCGCGACGATGTGTTTCGTATCGCGACGAGGCCTCCCATCTTCGGTGGTCCATCCCCCCGACAGTTGGGGGTGCGGGTCATCACTCCGACTTAGCCGCGTGTCTCCTCCTCCACAGATTTGTGCCTGGTCTGCCGTTTATCTCGCCTCTCGCGAGCCGGGCCCTCTCCGGGCGGGTGATCTCGCGGGGCACGTATTCGCCAGATAACCCCTGGCAGCTCCACGATATCCTCCGGTATTTCTTTTCCGCTGTTTCTCTCTATCCTTTTCTGCAATAACTCCTTCCCTATTCATTTTGACCTAATTCTTCACACACTCACCCATTCCTCCGTTCCCGTCTGACGGTATTTTATTTTACAATTACATTTTATTATTCTCACCTGCTTTCCTCTTTTATTTATTCATACGGGTGATCAACATTCACGGGGTTCATCACACACCCCCCTCCTTAGACGAGGCGTATGACGAGCAGCACTCGTCACTCCTTAGCGTAGGCTAGGTACCGGGGTCCTTCCCGGGTTCGGCTTGGTGCCGGCGAACTCCCGCCATCGTGGGACCCTGGGGTGGTCGCGGGCAGCTAATGCCTAGGTGGCTAGGTCGTCTTCGATGGGTCGGGGTTTCGGCAGTCCTCTTGGGCCGCCACCGGATGGGGCGGCTTCGTCGGGCTGCCCGCCGCTGGTGGATTTTATTTTTCGGTAGGTGGTTGGGCGGTATCCTGTGACGGGGCGATAGGGTGGGCGACACACTTCTGGGTCGGCCGTCACCGTCTTTTGTGGGCTTAGTCTCGGTACCCCCTCGGGGGAACGGTGGCTAGCCGGGGTTTGGGACGCTCAGCGTCGATGGCTTCTGGCCTCGGAGCGCTGGCGGGCCCTGCGGCGAGAGAGATCCTCGCGGAGGTCTTGCCGATGGTCCTCTGGGTTGGCCTCAGGTCGTCTGCCTCTCCCGGCTCGCTCCCGTCGTCGATAGTCCTCCGTCTCGGTGATTGGCGGCACGTTGAGGCCGAGGGAGGGCACGTACTGTCGCCGGGCCCTCCAGGTCCTTGCGCAAGCAGGGCAGTTGCACAGGCGCTTCTCCTTGCGGCCGCAGCGACGGCAGAACTCGCCCAGGGTGGCCGGGCACGTGGCGTACCGGTGGTGAGGCGACTTGCAATTCCAGCAGACAGGCGTCAGGGTTGGCGGCCTGCTCACCGGAGGCTTCGAGGGGCTGCCCTGCTCGCCGACGCCTTAGTGGGATGCCGCTGGGGTGGCTTGGCCGGTGGTGGCGTGTTCGCGGCGTGGCTCGGTGGACGCGGTAGTGGTCGGGGCGGAGAAGGCCTGGCTGGAGCGGGCGCCGGCCCCAGGTGGGTGTTGGCCAGCAATGATCCGCTCGATCGTTCGCTGGCGTCGCAGCCGTCTCTTCGGGCTGCTCGAGAGTTTGGCTCCCGGCTTGGCTTCCTCCCCACCGGTAGACCCTGCCGCAATTCCAGCCGCCTCTGGGTGGGTGGAACGGGGGTTCTCCTCCATATCCTTTGCGTCGGCACACGAGACGGTATGCCTTGGGCCGCTGCTCTGCTCGACCTCAAGGTCCATGGGGCTTTCCGTCACCGGGTGCCTCCCGGGCTCACGAGGGAGGTCAGGGGCTCCTGGCTGACTCTCCAGGGAGTGGGGCCGTTGCAGGTGCGGTATGGAGGCGTCTATGTCGGGCTGCACCTCCATGTCGGAGGGCGACCTCTGGCCTTCTTCCCCCCTCGCTTGGTCCCGGTTGGTGCTGGCGGTAGTTGACCTGGGAGGGTGGGGCGATAGCTCCTCACCACCGGCCAGGTCGCACTGGACTCCGACCTCGGTGGTGAGTACCCCGACGGAGATGGTCTCGGTAGCTGCGTCCCTCGGTATCTTCCCTGGCACTTGGATGGGCGCGTTTTGGGGACCGGGATATCCGGCGATGGTGCCTCGGTCCAGGTACCAGAGCTGCTCGGCGAGGCAGCAGTGCATCCCTGCCGGCGTCGTCCTCAAGACCTACTGGATGAGGTCCTGGAAAAAGGTGGAGAACTGCTTCCCCAGCCAGCGCATAGCGATGGCGTGCTGCTGCAGGGGTGCCCATAGGGGGCCTGTGGGCATGGGCACCAAGAACCGTAGGCTCCCGGCAGCTCTGATGGCCCGGTCTGTCTCCTCCAGGATGGAGCCATGCTGGTCCCTGCGTCGGTGGGTGGCCCTCACCACGAACTCCCATAGGCTGATGTCAAAGCCCGGGACACACTCCGTTAGCCATCGAAGCAGGCTGCCGTGCTGGGCGAAAGGTCGCCAGAGGGGCCCGTCCGGGAACGAATCGCTGAATTCCTCGAGGTGCGCCTGCAGGAGGTCGTCCAGCGCGTAGAACGCGTTGGCGTCGTCGGCTCGCTGGGCGCGGGCTAGTGCTTCTGGGTCCGGGGTTCGCGTGGGGGCCGAGAGGTCCTCGACGATAATGATGTCGCCGTCGGAATCCTCCCTCAGCAGCAGGTCCTCCATCTCGCTGCTGATCGACCAGTCCTCCGCGGGTAGGTCGCCTGGGCAACTCATGTCGATTCTAGAACAAATGGTATAAAATTTATTTCGGTACCTTATCTCCGGGTGCACGGGGGTTTTCCTCGGGCCACACGTAAAACTTCAGGTCGTGGGTGGACATTTTGCCCCTGGGGCGTCCGTGCAGATCCACGAGCTCCACGACGGTAGGGGAGACTTTCCTCTTTATCACCCATGGCCCCTGGTATAGGGTGCATAAGGAAGCGGTGAAGTTCTTGGCGGCGTTGAAGAGCGCGTGTCTCCGGGTGAGGACTTGGCCTCCCTCTTGGTAGGTGCTGGCCCTTCGCCGGAGGTTGTAGTAATGGGCCTGGCCCCGGTGGGCTTCTTCCAACGCGTGAGTGATGACTACCCTGACGGTGTCGATTCTCCTCATGCGGGTCTCCCACTCGGCTGGTAGGGGAGGCGTCGCCTCGACACTCCCTACCTCCTTCTTCCAGGATCTTGCCGGGATGGGTTCTCGCCCGAAGTTGGCAAAGGCGGAGGTCATGTTGGTGGAGCAATGATGGGCCGTGTTATAGGCGAAGCGGAATTCATACAGGTGTTCATCCCACTCCCGATGGTCCTCGCCCAGGAACGCTCGGATCATAGTCTGCAGTACTCGGTTGACCCGCTCAACCGGGTTGGCCTGGGGATGGAAGGGCGGGGTGGTGTGTAGCTGGATTCCCGCCTGCTGGGCCGTCGCTTTCAGCTCCCGGTTGACGAACTCTGTCCCATTGTCGGTGAGCAGGATGTCCGGTGTTCCCCACCGGTTTATCACGACACCCTCCAGGCACTCCCTGATTTTCCTCCCGGTGGCCTGTCGCAAGGGGCACACCTCTATCCACTTGGTGTACAGGTCCTGGACCACCAGGATGTAGCAGAATCCTGCCTTGCTGCGGGTGAGTGGCCCCACTATGTCAGCTGCTACTGTGGATCACGGCCCTTAGATCCTCCTCGGGTTCATCAGCCCGGTTGGGCGGGAATGGTCAGCTTTGGTCAGCTGGGACCGATCACATTGGCTCACGAAGGCTAACACATCCCGGGCCATCTTCGGCCAGTAGTAACTCTGGGCCAACCTTCGATATGTTTTATCGGTACCTGGATGGCCTGCCTGGGCTGAGCAGTGGCTCTCCTCCAGGACTGGCGCGCAGTATTCCCTCGGTACGACCAATTTCCAGGCCTCCAGGTCGGGTATCTCTCCGTCGTACATCTCGTTCTACGGGTGGAAGTACAGCTGATTCCCGTCTACCCTCCAATCGGAGAATTGGAGAGGGCGGCGCTCGACGTCTCGCCGCCGTCGGAGGTAGCACGCGTCTTGGATGTGGCTCCAGTTGTCGTCGGCCTTCATGGTCTGGAGGTTCTCCGTGGCTAGGAGCCCCTCCGGGATGCGGGAGAGGGCGTCTGGGACGTGATGCAGGGCGCCCTTGCGGTGGATCACTTAGAAGTCGTATTCCATCAATTCCAGTGACCATATCGCCAGTCGGCCCGTCGGGTTGCGGAGCTGGTGGAGCCACCGGAGGCTGCTGTGGTCCGTGATGACCGTGAAGTGGTACCCCTCCAGATAGCAGCGGAACTTCCGGATGGCCTATATGAGGGCTAGGCACTCTTGCTCGGTGGTGGTGTAGTTTTTCTCGGGGTCGATCAAGGCTCTGCTGGCGTAGGCTATGACTCGCTCTTCCCCGTTCTATTCCTGCGTTAGGACCGCCCCCAGTCCTACGGTACTGGCATCGGTCTGGAGGACGAACTGCTGGGTGAAGTCGGGACACGCTAGGGTTGGGGGCAACGCTAGGGTTGGGGGCAACGCTAGGTGAGTCTTTAGCAGCTCGAAGGCTCCGTTCTGCTCGGCGCCCCACTGCCAGTCCTGGTTTTTCTTGGTGAGCCTGGTCAGTGGCTCTGCTATGCTGGCGAACGTCGGTATGAAACGCCGATACCAGGAGGCCATCCCCAGGAAGCGCCTTAGATGCCTCATCGTCTGGGCAATGGGGTAGTCGACGATCGCCGAGGTCTTCTCGGGGTCGACCTGGAGTCCCTTCTCGTTGACTATGAACCACAGATATTTAACCTGGGAGCGGCAGAATTCGCTCTTCTCCCGGTTGATAATTAACCCGGCCTCTCTGATCTTCCTTAGTAGCCGCTTCAGCCTCTGGAGATGCTGGTCGAAACCCCTTGTGACGATGATGATGTCATCCAGGTACACGATCACATGTGGATACATCTCCGGCCCAATCAGACGGTCGATTACGCGTTGGAATGTGGCCGGGGCGTTGATCAGCCCAAAGGGCATCCTCCTGAACTGGAAGAAGCCCCTCCCGGGCACGAGAAAGGCGGTGACCTCCCTGGACTCCTCCGTCAGAGGCACCTGGAAGTATGCCTGGCTCAGATCCAAGGTGGTGAGGTACCGGGCCTGCCTCAACTCATCGAGGATCCCTGTCATATTGGAGATGGGGCAGGCGTCCTTCTTGGTGATCTCGTTGACCTTTCTAAAGTCGATACAAAAGCGGTACTTGCCGTTTGGCTTCTTGACCATTACCACGGGGCTGGCCCACTCGCTATGCCATGGCTCTATGACCCCGTCCGTTAGCATCTTGTCCACGTCCCGTCACATGATTTCTCGGATGGCGGGGGTGATGGGCCTGGCCTTTTGCTTGATGGGCGCGTGCCCTCCGACGTCGATGGAATGCTCCGTTACTGTGGTGACGCTCAAGGTTGCGGTAGGGCCTGCGAGGCTGTCGTCTAACAGGCCTTCTAGCTAGGCTGTTTGCTCCCTGGTCAATGTCCTCAGGCCGCAACACAACAACACCCGTAGGGGCTGGTGAGCCGGGGTAAACGGGTAAACCGTCTCCGGGTTTTCCCGGTACCATCGAGCCTGAGCCTGGAAGTCGATGACCATCCCGGTATCTGCCACTGTCTCCAATCCGAGGATCACGTCCTCCGTCAATGGGGCCAGGGCGAGGGCTCCGAGCTGGATCCCTCGGTCATCGAGGTAAGCGGTGGTGTGATATTCCTCCACCGCGGCCTCCTGCTGGCCAGCGGCTAGTATGACCCTCCTCGGCGGCACTGGCTGCGGGCTCACCCCCATGTCTCCCAGGTGTTGGATCACTTTCTTGCCACCAATGATTGCGACGCGCCGGAATCAATCAGCGCGCGGAATGGCTGGCCCGTGATGACAATCGTTGCATGGAACGCTCCGGTGGTCTGGGCGGTTGCGCAGGAGCTATTACCCCCGGGTCCGCCCGCTGGTGAATCGGCGAAGTGGACGTGTGGGGTCTCTCCTTGACAGTGGGGACACCTCCGCGTGGAAACTCCCGATTCCCCGCATAGGCGCCAGAATTGTCGCAGAGGTTCGCGGCATCCCCGATACAGATGCCCCTTCTGGTGGCAGTTGAAGCATTGCGCCGTCTCGGTACTGGTCTCCCTAGGGTTCGGCCTCGGAGTCATGGGACTCGGGCCGACACTAGGTGGGGTGGCTGCTCGCCCCGGGGGAGTGGTCACTCGGGATCCCCGCTGGGCTCGGTATGCCGTTTTTCCCTGTTGGCACTTCAGCGCCTTGAGCCTCTGCTCTAGCCAGGCCATCTCCTCTTCAGGGTCCCCCTCGCACTCGGTCTCTGTGTCCAGGGTGATATTGCCCGCCGACGTACAGGCGGCTGGCGATACGTACGTCCCCATTCGCCTCAAGTGGAGCTTCAGGGCAGCTCGCCCCTTGTCTCTTGGTGGGCGATAGGCGTATCCTGGGCACAGGGCTGCCTCAGGCGTGGGGGTGGCCTCCGCTTATCCGTGGAGAAATAGATCCTCTCCTGCCGCACCGTCCTGTCCTCCAGCTCCTCGAGGCTCGTCTGCAGGTCCACCTGTACCCAGACTCGGTAGGCGGGCAGCAGGTTGGCGTGGATCGTCTGCACCTGCTCCTGCTCGGTCCATGGGGGATTCAAGCGGGCCATGAGGCCTCGCATGCAGGCGAAATATTCCCCCACGGGTTTCTGGTCGCCTTGGGTTCGGCTGTCGATCTCCCGGCGCACCGTGCGTTGATAGTCTGGGTCGCCGAACCTCTTCCTCAGGGCGGCAGTGGTCTGGTCTCATGTGGTCATTCTGCCCACGTGGGCCCTCCACCAGGTCAGCGCGATATCCCTCAGGTAGAAGGGGAGCACCTTCAATAGTGTCTCATCGCTCACTGTGAAGCAGGCTAATCCCTGCTCCACCCGGTCGATAAAATTCTCGATATCCTCGCTTCGGCGTCCCGTTAAGGGGGTGACGTCCCACTTCTGCATGAGGATTAATAACGCGCCAGTGGCCAGTGACCGTTCTCGTGTTGGCCTTGTGGGGCCCTTGAGTTCCTCCTCGGAGGTCATCCTGAACTCGTTCGGTTCCGGACGCACAGGTCTCCGATGCTGGCGGTAGTCCAGGTCCCTCTCCCTTGGCTGGTGACCTCGCGGGGGCCCGGGGTACTGTGGTAGGTCGGCCTGGCCTGGTGGTGCCTGTCCAGGCCATGGCGGCCCTGGAAATGGCGGCGGAGGCTCCTGGAATTGTTGCCTCGTGTCCGATCGGACCGGTGGAGGCTCCAGGAGCGGTCGCGGTGGTATTCCCTGGTATTATTCTGGGGTGTCCTCGAAGGCCAGTGGGGGGTCCCTCCCTCGCTCCTCTGCTCGGCGAGAGGTCCTAGTTGACCTCCCCGAGTGGGTGTCCGAGGCGTCCGAGGGGCTGGGCTCCTCCACTCTGAGGTCGGGCAGGTTAATGCTCTTCTTCGGGCGTCCCCGCCCGCGCCGCTGATCTTTCCCTGTCGGGTCTTGCTCTTCGGCCATGGTCCGCCGCGTTAGGCCCTGGGGTGACTCAGGCTGGCCAAAGGTTTCCCCTGGGCTGGCTCAGGTCTCCTCGGCTGGTGGCTCGTCGATACCTTGGTATTATCTCCCCCCGCGGTTGGCACGGCGACTCGGGCCAACGGCTTCCGGGGGTGTCTCCTTCGGGAGCCTGGCTGAGGGCTAGCTCTGAACAATGTCGGTTGGCCCTCGTGCTCCCTTGGGTGATCTCGTAATAGCCTTTCGGCTCGGCCTGATGAATTTCGCTTCCGACCTTCTCGGACCGTGGGTCGAACTCCGCTCTTCGGCAGGTCTACCCCCTCTGGGTCTCTTCGCTATTCACTCAGGCCTCCTTGGCCTGTTGCTGCCCTTATGCGTGGCCGATCTTTCCCTTGGTTATCCCCCACCCCCCCGGGGGTTTTCACTGGTTGATCACTATAAATAATAGTCGGTACTTACCGGTAATCCGGACAGGGGTACTCTCTGCTGCTCGGTGAATGTAGCTCCTTTTCTATCTCGTGCGGTGATCCTGGTGTTTCGGGGTGGTTGGTGTATGCGCGTTGACTCTCCTCGAAATTCGGGTAACGACTACTGGACTCGGCGTGCCGCGTCTAACGGGACTCAGGGTGTCCAGTGTCCAGTCCCCCGCTCCGGTCTCGAGGGTGTCCAAAATTTTTCCTCTGGGATTTATTGTCTCGCCTCATTTTTCTCGGGGGGTCACCTCTAGTGTAAATAAAAAAAGGCAACCCGATCCCTTGAGTTCCGGGAATTATTTGGCCGCCGCTGTTGTTCCCTGGTCTCGGTGTTGTCAGCGGGCCACCCGTGCTGTAAACACGGTTGACTCTCGATGTAAACACGGCGGATTATTTCTCCATTCCTTGTTTCCTCTCGATCTTCAATTCCGATGTTGATTTCGACAATCTTTTGATCGTTATTACTCGGCGCGGTAACTTCGCCCGTCTTTAGTGGAGATTAATTCTTTTCTCCTTTGTTCCGTGGAATTTTCGAGGCGCGATTTCTTTTAGGTAATCCTAATCCACGTCGTTAATCTGTTGCCATTTGCGCTCGGTATTTATGACCTTGTTGATCGCACGCTTCGACTCAATAGCGTCTATTGCTTGAGTCGCCCGTCGCGGTATTTATCCTCGTCGTTATTTCCCCGAAGTACTCGTTGCTCGGCGTCGTCGGTATTTATCTTGGTTTATTTTAAATTAATTTGTTCTATCCTGTTCCTCTCTGCCTTCCGTCTTCCTCCTTCTGGCTGACCTCTCTCTTTCCCTCGGCGTTGAGTGTGCGATCCCCCTGGGCAACTGCTCGGTGATGGCGTCATTCAATCCTTCTGTTGTTTCGTTTTTCTTCGCCAATTACCCTCCTCACGCGTATCAAAGCCGCCCCACGTCGGGCGCCATTTTGTAACGCTTTT